AAAAATTTGTGGAATATACCAAATTAAAAAATCAGTTTGAATAAGTGGGAAAAAGTTTATATAAGTTAATAAAAAATATACTTTAGTTAAATAAACTACTAATACACTAATAGTTTTAGATCAATTCAATTTAAAACTGTGTAAATAAAAACATGTTATTTCATCTATTAAATGGTTTGCAAGTTTACATATAACGTAGCGTAAATAATATCAATTTTGAACTTATCTTTTTGAATTTCTGTTGGACAACAGATCAATACAGTACAACATATTTCACGTATCACTCCGTACTCACTGCGCGTTGTTCTGTTTAAATTGTTCGTCGTATTTCGTTCTTCTTCGATTCAGCCGAAAATTTATTTATGCTGTTCCGCAGATAAGCTAAACCATAACCATAGAGCTGGAAATAAAAATAAATACATAAAATACTTTATATACAGTTAATTAATTATGGAACTGATAAACACAATCGATATTAATAATAAAATAATAAATTATATGCAGAGTGGGACCGTAGTTCAAGCATGGGACAAAAAATTGTTTTCTTATTTTCTTTATAAATGGTTTGAGGTTATATTATTTTGACGTTTGTTGTTGTCAGACACTGACGTTTATTCTAGAAAGTTCAGAGCTTATTAATATATTCTGCTAATAACATTAAGTTTTATTCAGCAAAGTTTGCATGATGTCTGCAATGTCTGACGGTGAAGAAGATACACAAGAAACTGATTTATTTAATATTCCATGGGACGATGTTTTGGTTCCTTACATTGGACCAACATTGTCTGTGAAAGACTGTTTCAATCTGAGGTGTGTTTCAAGATCTGGAAAATCATTGGGAGAATCAATTTTAAAAAAAGTTCATAAGTTAGTGTTGTCTTCCACATTATCCCAAAATCAGGGTACCATACAGGTAAATTGATATTGCCTTCATATCAGCTTTCTAGATAATTATATCTCATTTTTCCTCTCATGCAGTCAAAATTATATTATATTAGCTAATGATAACACGTCTTAAAACACAACCTGATTTACCTTTTAATTTTATTTAGGTTTTGAGAAAAAACTGTAAAGATATCAGAATCCTTACAGTCATACCTGAAGACGAAGAGCAAGATGTCCCATCAAAAATTTCAGCTGAAAACTTCATTATTTTAACGTCTGGACTTAAAAGGCTTCAACATGTAAACCTGGCACATTGTGTTAATTTGTCACCAAGAGCTGTTCACCATATATTCGTTAATTCCAAGTATATGACTTTTCTAGATTTAACAAGGTATTTTCTTTTGTAATCAAATTAAATATACCTATTTCTACTACAGGTTACAACTGTTTTTCATAATGAATATTTCACTTGATTTAGAGATTAGAGTATTTTTTTAACTCCCAATTTAATTATTGTAGGTGTTGTTGGTTGACTGATGGAGCTTTACAAACCCTTATGGTACATCAGAGACATCTTAGGGATGTAAACTTGAGGTGTTGTTGTCAAATTTCGACAAAGTGTCTAATTAAACTAGTGGCACTTTGTTCTAATCTTGAGCAATTGAATTTACAACAACTCAGTTCTGTTGATGATTCTGTCCTTGCTGCCATTTTACATCATTGCAACAATTTAAATAGTTTGAACTTGGTAATGTGTCAAGAGGTGTCACCTAGTGCTATAGAGTGAGTATCTTTTTAACACACAATTAAGATTATCAGAATTGTATTTCTTCTGTTATGAAACTAAAAGCTTCCCTGAAATATCTTCATTGTAGTAAATGCCTCATTTAGACCTTTCTATTTAGGAAATTGCAATTTTCGTTTATTTGTTTGTTCTTACAAGTAAATTGTAGATGTCATGGTATAAAAGTGGATAGTTTGGTAGCTCCCTTTTGAATTTTAGTGGAAAGATATGCATTTAAGAAAAATGATTAAGATTTTCAGCCCAGATTAGATCTTTTTCTAATTTTATTATTGTTAGATTATTATTAACTTGTTGTTTTCATAATCATCTTGATTTCCAATTTTCAACGTTGTTTCCATCAAATTTACTTCGTCAACTTCTTAGTGTTAGAGCAAAACTGTGTACAAGATTTGTTGTAGAAGAGTTACGTGTATATAAATTTTCAATTGTTCTTTAAACAATTTTTTTTGTAGGCGATTTCTCTTAATGAAACCATCAGTAAGTGTTAAACAGTTTGGTTGCCGCAGCCTGATGTGTCTTGATCCTACGTTGTACACATTGATGCGACACAACGAAGGAGGGGGTTACATGCAGATGCCGATGGGACTTAGATTTTTTTAAAATGGAAGAATCTCTGAAAGATATCAGCTAGAGAAAACTGTGATTTTTTTTCGTGTAGAAAAATTTACCTTAAATCCTTCACAGATGCACTACGTTTTCCACATATTGTACTTGTAACTATGGTTGTCACATTAATTTATAAAATACCCTCTTCTTGTCGCTGTACATCGCAAACTATCTAGATTTTAACCTATTAGGACCCTTTAGAGGAGATGAACTACAACATACTAATAAATTCAAACATTTTGACGGATATCTCTATAACACCATAAAATGTGTGTACAATTCTTAAAATTTAAGTTTGACAAATGTATACATTTTTTGTGATTTGGCGCTTTAAGGTAAAATACAAATAAACAAATGTTCGTTTGACAAGTCTTTTTGAATGCGAACAAGTACAATACAAATGAAAATTCAACTGTCTTAAAAATCCTTTAAGGATTTAATGTTTTGTTTTAGGTTTGACGCGTTTTAAAAAAATTGTTTAGAAAGTTTATTTGTTCATTTAAAATATTTATATATAATACATTATAACACTATTATCTACAATATAGGCACATAATATCTTCATTTACAAGTGGATTTCGGAACAAAAACTCGTAGTTTTAATGTTGCAGCATTTTCAGTGCAAAACGCGATGACATTATTATGGTAACTTGATAAGTAATCAACGCAAAAAATAAATTAAATAAGCAACATGCTCACATATGATGACAGACAGTTTTTAACAATTCTAGTAAATTGATTGCATTACAAATTTAATACTTAATTAGTTTCATTTGTGAACAAACATATATATATATATATACTGTATTTTTTTGTCGTTTTCATTACAAAAAAATTGCCGCTGACGAGGTGCAATAATAAAATTAATTAGTCGTTAATTCAGTTAAAGTTGCATGATAATAAATAATTTCCAATTACATTATCAACTCTTAAACTGTGTATATGTATGTATTTATAGTAATAAACATTGGCTTTTAATAGTTTAAGAGTTAAAGACTATAAGTGCGCTAAAATTTCCATTTCCGACGGTATTTCCGTTATTTGCACGTTACTCGTGTTGTTTTCTGATTGAGAACAACCACTGACGGTCACTATCACAGGGTTTTGGTCGCCCGTTTGCACTATGGTTACCAGGTTTCCATCTTTTCCATTGTCCAGATCCGAGGAGCCGCCTTTGAGTAGCATCTTCACCGGATTTATCTCACCTTCGGGCGCCATCTTCAGGGAATCTATCGTTATGTTGTCGAGTGCGATGTCTTCTTCCGTGTTGGCTAAAATGTTGACATTATTTACCACCGAACCGCCGTGGTTGGAATCCGATAAGGTAAGCGATTGCTCTCTACTGTGCAAAGCATTATTGAGTTGATCTATGGTGGCTGGTCGGGAAGAGCTGGTTTGCGACCTGTAGGAAGGTGGAAAACTGTACTCTGATTGGCCCAAGTCTCTTCTGTTCGATAAGGGGGCTCTTCAAAAATGAGAAAAAAAAAAATTAGTTAATTACAAAAACAAACACTAGTAATTACGATGCCAGGAAGGAATAATGTCATAGGGGCGGAAAAGCAAACACCCCATTCAATCGTGTAATTTATGAATGCAAAGAAAAGATAGCAGTAAATTATTAATTATTTATTTAAAAGAAAGCGATTTTAAAGTTTTGTACTGAAAGGAATAAATAAGATTAATGAATTTATGCCAAAAAAATTGCGATACATATATATACACTAATACTAATGTTTTTATTTCTACACTGTCTAAACCATGTAAACAACAAGACTTTCTCCCGATTCAAACCACTTTTTACTGCTTATTAAGGTGCGATGCCCAAATTATTCGTTTAAGTTATAAAGGGTTTTTATTTTAAGTAATAGAGTAATAAAGAACACAAAATATTATGAATTTATAAAGGTTATTACGTTATCGAGGTTTAAGTCATCAAGGTTCTACTGTAAAACTATTACGAAACACCCTTCTTCAGTAGTTTTCTAAAACAATTTAGAAAATTCATCTCGAAAATTGAAGGACAAAACAATAAATTCTCATTTTGACTCTAAAGGCTATAAAACAAAAACTTCAGCGAAACAAGTTAGCGGTTTATGGTTTATATTCAAAAATAAAAAACCCATCACCTAACAAGTAATACACACAGAAAGGATGCTATATCTCCACGAGCATTTTTTACTACCTACGTTTCATGTTATTTTAAAACTAATGTTGAGACGAAACAAAATTATTTACTTGACTTAGTAACACGCTGGTGGCTCTCTTTGTTCTTAAAAAGAAAAATTATGTACTTCAGGGGTTACTTCTGAGAGAAAAGTAATGAAATTTAAAAAAACAACTGGAAAGAAAAGAGACGCATCATCGGATAGAGTTCTAACATAAACTATTATTATTACTATTGGATTTTTCTGGAAAATAAATACGTTTGACCTACCTTAGCAAACTACCTGCGTGACTTCGGTACGTTGGGGGTGGTGATGCACCATTTTGTGCACCAGCAGGCGCCGCATTTCCCCTGTCTAAAAGCAACAACCTTAAACGGTACTCTTGCATAGACGCTTGGTATGAAGGGGGTGGGGGTCGGTATTGGAATTCGGGATACATCATTGCCGCGTAGGGATGATGTGGACGCCCATACGAGGGTGGTAATCGTGGTACAAACCGTCTCGGGCATGTATCAACCGATTCCGTCGATCCCATACCCAACATAGCACGGCACGTCGACGAGTCGTGGGATGTAAGCCGCCATGCTACGCCACTGACTGTAACCAGCACTATACCAACACCTGCAAAAAAAAAGATCAAATTTTGATTCTTGATTGAAATCACGCAAATTACAAACATTAAGAGGAGAATAGTTTGCTTTAAAAATAGGTAAGACTTAATCTGAAGTGATCAATATGTTCTTTGTATCTTTTTCAGATAGACCGTTTTGTTTGCCCAACACATTTATGTTCACAACCAGAATTAATTTCGTAAATTTCGGACTTTTGATCATTTTCTAAATTTTCTAATTTATGTTTAGTGTTCCTTAAAAGGTTTTCAAGGTTATTACTTGTTTTCTTGTGCCCACGTTACTAAAATTCCAAAATCGTACCGAAATGAATTATGATCCACAAAGCCATGTGATTTAAGAGCTTGGACCAGTTTACACACGTCACATTATGACACGTTTTTTCAAATCTTTTATTAAAATGTTTTGTAGTAGAAATCATCCCCCCACGGCATTTTTTCAATGTTGTTTTTTTACATTTAAATTCTGAGAGAAATAATACTTCCGTTTTTAACCAATAGATGGTGGTAGATATTCTAAAATAAAAAAGAACTGAGGAGATACGATTTAGGAACTGGTACGAAATAGACTACTTTTCCCTAAACCCAGTTCCTTCCTTTAACAAGTTTGAGTTCCAAGAGTCTGTAGAAACCTGTAATACCTCGACCACCGACTAAAACTAAACTAAAAGATTTATACATTCGTTTATGGTGCATCCCGATCGGATTCTAACATGGGGTTTCTACTACCAGTGTGGGAGTGTGGAGCGATAATTTAGTACCTGCTATGAACTGGATCGGCATAAAGTTCAGACATCGAATGAGACAAGAAACACTTTGCATGCATGAAAATTAGCATCGGATGTCCGGAAAAGTCACTGTGCGATCTTTTAATTCATACATTACAATTTTTGAACAACAAAATAACATTTTCACTAGCTCAACAAATACTCTTTTTAAGGATGTTTGGGAGGTATATCCAAATGCTACGAGACAAATAAAAATTTGGAAGAACGTTCCTCATTCAATTCTAAAACTCCTTTAATAATTACAAATCGATTCATTAAACCGTTAAAAAGTTCTTGAAATTTTAAAAAATTGTAATTTTACACAATCATTTTATGGAGATTCGCTAACCGAACAGATTAAATTTATTTTTGTTAACAGAAAAAAAGCTACCAGAAATTTCAAACTTTTATAATAAGTAACTTGAACTCTGGAAAATCACTTTAGCGTAAGGTTATTCAAATTCACTAAATGGTTATCGAGGAAAAATGAAAAATTAGGTGAAAATGTCGTTTTTACTTGATCATAAAATGATAATATTTATAATTGTCTGAAATAAATGCAATTTTAAAGTTTTAATTATCATTTAAACATATTAAAAAGTTTTACGCTTATAATTATTAGAGATTGAAACTAAAAATTTTTTTTTCGAAGTTGAAATCAAGGCATATTCACTGCCAAAAGTCGGTTAAAAATTTTTTTCAAAGTTGTTGGTCAAATTCCAAATTTTCTCTCAAACCGTATACTTTTTTTTAGTATAGATAGTATTTATTTACCTCATGATATGCTGCAAAACCTAATTAATCACGAATTTCTAATTTTATGTACTCTTGTCTCCGATTGTACCTCCCAAACATCCGTAAAGAAGGAAGTTAATTTCTTTTACGATGTTTTAAAAGCAAATTCTACTTTTTTAAATAAAGACCCTAGACACAGGCCCCTGGAAAATAGCTTCATAATACAAAAATGTAACTTGCAATAATAATAATTGCTCAATTAGAGAAAATTAAGTAGATTACAAGTGTATTTTCTTTCGGCCATTATATTGTATCCGGCTAGCTATACAAGTTTCAGTGTGGAACACGTTCTGGGACCACGGTGTGACATTTAAGGGCTTAATTTGAAACTGGGGCGAAGTCCCCGAGTTTGAGTTTCGTATATTTGCAAAGTAATGTAAACACCTGGTGTGGCAACACACCCGGGCACAACAAGAAGTGATTAATGCATCACGTCAATTAGTTTGTTTAACATGTGTTAAACTATGTACCGACAGACAGACATATATGTATGCGCGTGTGTGTGTCCATGCATGTCTGTCTCTTATCTACCTGCCGAGACGATCTAGTTTCCTAGGAAACACGTTTCACTTAAGCCCAACATCAATAATAAATTACAATTTGCTTGGTAAGTATGTATCTATCCGTTACGTTTGTACTGTATCGAATGACAGTATTATAATGAACCAATAGCAAATAAGAAAATTGTTCTTGATTTAAATTGATTGTGAGCCTTCTTTACGATAATGATTATAGGAAGTATCTAATTATAAAATAGATTATTTAAATTACGACTGCAAATCGTACATTTTTCGCGATTTTAAAAGGTGGTTCGGTAAATGTGTCGTGCGAAATCTTTGGGAGACTTATTTCAATTTTTTGATAAGTTTATTTACAACCACCGGCTCGAAAATCGGTAATGTTTACATTTTCCGTCAATGTATACTTCATTTACTTTCTCCAGCGATGTGCCCCTTCCAATGTCTTGGATACGCACTGGCAAAATCGGAAGTAGGGAGAAAAAAGCTCATTTACTCTCGACTCTTGTTTGTTAAATATACTTTTTCATACAGTACCTGCCAAAAGTTTTGCTCAATCATGAACAGTAGTGCGAGTCGAAAACAAGCGTTAAAGCCTTTAATATGTCTTCAAATATAAATAAACATCTCGATGATATTTTCAGTAGTTAATTATACCAATAACAGCACATTTGAGCAATGCAATTGCAGTAGATAAAATGGTCAATTTTTCCGTGCAATACTGTACAGATTATACGCTCCTCACCGGTTAAAAGTTTGGCCGAGAGTTGTCTCCTTCCTTTTCTGGCCTAGTGCTGTTCTTTTTTACTTTGCGCCGGTCAAACTGAAGGTCACATCGCTACAGAAAGTAAACGAAGTATAGCTGCATACTTTATTGCAAAGACACCAACATTGTTAATTCACACACAGGACCGACTTCAAATCGTAAATTATTGTGATTGAAAAATTATTTTTGCCCTCAACCACGTTACTGAACTCGTTATGCGATTGTTTATTTCATGTTCTTTAAACCTGAACAAACTTCACTAGTGGTAATTAATTGCTTAATACCACTTCCGAATCGGCTTGCCCTGGTTTTCTGTGGTTTCCTCGGATAATTTAGACAAAATGCTGAGGCAGTTAGTAATACTTTACACTTCTCTTGTTTTCATTTCGACCGTCTCATTTATCTCTCCCAACCACCACCCATCAGTTCCCACTGGTCCTAAAAATGGTTTGAAGAAGAAGAAGGCATTCTGCCCTATCCACCGACTTTGCAGTAGATAGTAGATCGAAGGGATTTCCGGCCCGGCAATGTGTTCAAATACAAGATAAAAGAAATGCTGATCGTTTTTTTTTCGACATTTAGAGCATTGTCCTCCTCGAGTACGTTCTTTCCGGCTAGACAGTGACCAGACAGGCGTCCCGAAGTGACTAACGGAATGCGTTTTCCGCGTAAAGCCGGCACTTGCAGAAAAAGGTTGGATTGTTCACACAACAACACGTTCGCGCATTCTTCGTTGATTGTCCGCGAGTATTTGACTCAAAAAAAGTATCCCCACGTTGCCACATCCCCTACAGTCCGAAATAAAACCCGTAAGACTTTCTTCTTTTCTCAAAACTGAATATGTACTCATCATGGCGTCGTGGAAGAGGTCAAAGCAGATGTAACAACGGTTCCGAACTAACTTCGTAACTTCAAAAGGCTACTGTGTTTCTAAGGGTACTAAAAGGCGGTGACAACGATAGAAAGAGTTAGAGGGTGACTTTAAAATGCAAATACAAAATAAAAAATACCTAGTTTTATCTTGCACTTAAGTACTTTTTTGAGAAAATAATAAACAAATATTATATAAAATAATGAATGAAAGTTGCTCACGTTGACTATTGAAGGTATTAGAAGCTTAAAAAGGACAGAGACATTCCATGAATGCCTTGTAATTCTTTAACTAAAGAGAGCTCAAAAAATTCTAAACTCCTTGGAAATGGATAATCTAAAATATTGGATCGATATTGTTTTCCGGTTCAGTGTCATGGTCCATGGAATTTTGAAGTTCCAAATTGATATCAGCACCTGCCAAATACCACTTATCGTACCTTTAGCAAAGAACTACGAAATTTTATGAATTAATACAAAACAGCCCGCAAAACAATATCGAATTAATATCCGACAGCTGTGTAAAATTGAAAACTATAAGATATTGTGGTGTGCTAATAAATGCGTATAATCCAAAATTCTTAGAAAACTATTAGAAAAACTTCATGAACCCAAACCTAAGAAACCTATGGATTCCATTTCTTTCTCTTATTACAATGTGTAAAAGATCAAAAATAAAACGAGGTTGTAAATATTTTGATACAATGTGATTGATGGTGATTTTACATTAATAAAATTATTTGCAACCAGGGGCGCAATAACGTTACAATTTGACTGGGTGCTCACAAAAAAAACGTTCTCATGATAATATATAGGGTGTCCCAGTTATAATAATTAATATTTATACCACAGATTCCTACGGATATTTGGAACATAAAATGTTATAACACTTTTGACTTTTGAAACAAAATAAAAAATTATAAAATTATAACAGTTTTGATGCCGGCCCTGCACAATAGCAAATTAATTACGATTGCCAGCTGATCGTAGAAAAATTCACCTTCAGTANTTTGAAAATACGTATTTTGCATTTAGTATTTAAAATACAAAATGGAAATCTATTTTGTATAATACATGTGAAATAACAAATCAAAAAAGTATTTGCATTTTGTATTTAAATATATTTAAAAAAAAATAATTTTGCACATTCTAGTGACTATTGTGAAGGACGATCTAAACGTATCGAGCAAAAATTACAAATTCTCGATACTTACAATTAGTAAACGAAAGGAAAGTACAAATTTGCATTAATTCCTTGAACAGTCGCGTTCAAAAAT